GTAATGACCAAGTAGTATAAACCCTGCCTGGACTGTTGCTTTAAGGGTTCGATCCCCGTGGCGACTAAATTTTGCATTTGGGTTGGCGCCTACGGTTTGGTGCCAAATCGCGCTAAATATCAAAATCAGATGTCAATTCATCGTCAGGACCATTTTGAAGCCAACAAGTGGCCGCCAACCTTGATTGCAAAATTTAGTCGCCGCGGGGATTGAACCATCAAGAGGTATTATTCACCACTTTTTTGGTACTACTAAAACCGTTCAGCGAAAACGAAACATGGTTTTGTGGTCCATACATGCGTCCCTACAAAAACCGTTTCCAAAAAGCGCACCTTGCCCTGAAAGACCTCCCTTGTAAGTCCTGTAGCAGCTAATTCTTAACTGACAAGGAAAGGATCCCACGTCGAAGTGGCCATTCATAATGACAGCATTCAGACGTGTTTTCAGACGCTGATCTCAAATCCATCTTCCATGTTTGCGAACTGATTATCTAGAACAGAGTTAAAAGGGCTTTCTCAAACGAAAATACACTTAAGAGGCCGGCAGGCGGGACTCCAACAGCGGCTTGGCCGAGGGGTTTTGCTGGTGGCCTGGGGGTACAGCAGTACTAGTGTTTCGTCACAAATGGACACTTTGGTTCGTGATCCTTTCCTTTTGAGATAAATGAGCGATCGGCAGCACATATGTGATCGTCGTTCAGCTGCCAATAGATCACCCGAGTGGCAATTTCCTGAAACCGAAGTTCATCGAGGTATCGAAGGGTGTCAGATTTGACGTTATGAAAGTGCTCTCAGATGCTCCATGATAGGCTGCTGGTTGCTTAGCTGCTCGCTCTTGGTTTTATTGAACGGTCGTCATCGATAGCATCCAAGCCGAATCGTCGGCGAGCCTTCAATCCCAACGCTTGAATCGCGCAAATCGATAATCGATTAATTGCTGCTGTTCGCAGTGCTGAGGAAGTCCACCCTCCAATAAAGCATAAGCGATGTCTGTTAGGGGACGTTTGACTGATCGTTTCCATTCGAAAAGCAGCAACATACCTGGGACTTCGAGCTCCTTTACACAAAGTCCTCCGCTACACGTCGAGCCGGGATACGTAGTACAGTCGGAGGCAGAGCTGCAGGCAGTACCATTCTCCCACATCACGCCATTCGTGTAATAGCCTCTATAAATAACTGAATGGTGAATCCGATTGACTTATGTAAGTAACTAGTGCCTTAGGGTGGCCTACAATGGGAACTAAACTGGTTCCACCCACACAAACGAGGAGGTGTCACCAAGTCACTCCGCGGCATCTACTATTCACCGTGCGGTGAGGTATCTCGCCGCGATCTACTCAGGGCATTCGCTCTCCAAAAGAACCTTCGCAACAACCTAGAGAGGTAAACGCGCGTCTAATCGAGCGCAGAGCAGAACATCACGGAGTTGCCACTTGAGCCAACTGCTACACAGTGCACCCCGCATGGTACGCCACCGGGTGCGTGCCAATTCAATCGCGGCACTGGTCAGGTCGCCGCCAGGGTCAACCGTCCGTTGGACAAAGTCCAACGCGACGACGAGAGTAATGCCGAGAGTGAACGTACGCACGGAGACACAGACGGCTCGCGGGTGGCGAGAGTGAATGCCGGCGCGGAGAGCGGTCAACATCGGTCCAACGTCGCTCCAATATCGGTCCAACGTAACGGTTGACCCTGGTCGCCGCGCAAGTCGCCGCAGCCCGCACTGCCTTGTCGGCTGTCTGGATTTCAGTACTCGAACATTGAGGGATGAGGAGATGAACTCTGTAGCCATGGAGCATTCAATATGATACCGTCCCCGTCAAGACATACAGCCTACGTCGTTTAATACATATTTTCACTGTATTATGCTTATGTTGGTACTCTAATAACCAATTCCGTCGCGTTACAATCTTTTCTTCTAATTAGACAAAAACGTCACTCTTTCATGAAAATTTGGATCGCTGATTGTGAGTGATGAAGTCACGTTGAACTCAACAAAACAACCCTTACATTGTGCAATTTCTACACTGAGGCTCGAATCACCTCGGGGATCTCCACAGAGTCAACCCTGCGTTGCGCAGTTCTCAACGGCCACGTTGCGCAGTTTCGCCCGATTAGACACGTTCTCTCGCGCGAACATTCACACTCGCATGCTCGAGCCGTCTGTGTCTCCGCCCATACAGCGTGCGTTGAGGATCTCTCAACGTGCCGTTGCGAACTGCGCAACGCAGGGTTGACTCTGGTCTCAAGGTTACGCTTGTTACGGTAAATGTTGTCTAACACTTAAGCCTTGTTAGGTACTTAACCTTAGCCGTAATTTATGGGTACGGCAGATTAGATTAACTTCCATCTGGACCCGCCGTACAGTACGCCGCGCGCGACGCCGCCTGCCGCGTGTTCGGTGTGACTTCATTGGCTTGCTTGAATGGATACCCG